ATAACAGTTGTGTATAAACGAGATATTATTACTTAATTTGACATTATAATATTGAAATCCCTTCAAGTAGTTTGAGCGATTAAGTGATCATTGTAGGTTTAAAAATATTTATATACATTGATTTACCTTTTTAATCTATAATTATGAATATTAAATTCAAATAATTGTAATGGCCAATTATAAGATATATATTAAGAAAAAATGTTGATAAAATTATATTTGTATAATTAAATGTTGAATATAATTTTATAAGATTAAGTGCGAATAATAGTCAGATATACGTGTGTGTGTGTGCGTAATTTTAGCTGTATTTTTCAATATTAATAAATTCAATATTAATTAATCAGAAAATCGTGATAATTGGATTATTTCAAATTAAAATATTTCCGTAAAAATAAATATTTATAATTATCGGTAAATATTTACTAATATCAATCGATTTATCCTCGCTCCATTACAATGGAATATGTTCCCTCTATGGGCAAAAATTAGATTATTATTATGTGAAAAATTTACCTACTACTGCCTAAAGAATATTTACCAAAATAATACATAAGGTCGACTATAATTGTATATTACGAATAATCCTCTCTATATAATTATAAAAATAACTCTTTGTATATTTTATGTATTACAGAACATATAAATTTTGATAAGAATGTTTCATATTGAAATTACTTCGCCAAGTTAATTTTATAAGAAACTGCCCCATTTTGGTTAATAAAGAAAACAAAACTTTTTTTCTATTATTATACATGATTTTTACGATCGTTTTAATTTCGACGGAAATGAAGCGAGGCAGTCGTGGAATTCACGAAGAGGAAAGAAATTTAATTTTAATTTCCTTGAAGCTCGCACTTACTTCCGAAATTTGCGTCTCCTGGCGAATTATAAGCCGCTACTCGCGCGATCAGCCAGTGTAAAGAAAAGTCCGTGCCGCCACGCTTTCACGAAAGCCGAGAGCGTATTTATTTTATTTCCTCGACTGTCACCGCGTCTCAGACGAGCCTCTAACACACCTTTCCAGCTTTATTCTCTGTTTATTTTTCTTGTTATTTATTTTTTTATAATTACTTTTTTATCTTTTTATTTTTTTTATTTATGGATTAAAATTGTCGACTGTAATTTCCGTACGACTTGGACTCGCTCGCTCGCTCGCTCGTTCATGCTTACTCTCATTAAGTATTCTAGACAAACAGTTCCCTTTCCTTTGCAATATAATTATTTATGATATACTTTCAATAATTCGAGTAATTAAAACATGAACTTCATTTTTAATTTAAAATCGTCGACTGCAGAAAGACTGGAGATAATAAGTCTTATTCGGATGTCAGACATTTCATTGGCTTTATCGATTAGTTTAGTTTCTGATGAAAATATCTATTAGGAGGACCGTGTTCCATGAAATTATATAAATAATACAATTCTCATTCTGATACAGCTCAAAGGATATTAAAAAAAAAAAAAAGAAGAAAGAAGAAAGAAAATTTTAAAAGCAGAAATTTAACGAGTAATAATTATCCGTTCCATTTGAATTTGATTATTATAGCAAATCATCATAATAATGTAGCAAATCATTTGTATACAAAGATGTCCGTATGTTTTATTTTCTTTCAACTAAGATTTAATCGGACCGGAACAGAATTTCATAACTACGATTACTATTCTACGCAAACAAAGCCTTACTATTATTTTTTCATTTTTCTGTTTTTTCATTTTAGAAAATAGAACCTCGTAACTATATAAAACCTTCTGGTTATATTAAATATTTAATAAGTTAGATTCGGCAATAATTTATTTCGATGATATTTTTATGTAATCGTTCGCCCTGATAATAAGCTAAATATTTATTACAATATTTACATAAAGCTTATCGAAACATGATTGCTGTATATTTTTTAATAGACAAATTTATAAAAAGAAAATAATGCAATTAGTCTTGAAACAATTTAGTCTTTAGGGAGATTATAATGCATGTCGATCATCAGTCACATTATATTTGTCATTTCAACAACTCTTTTAGAAAGTATTTCGCACAATAACCAAAGTAATATCATAATGTCAAAATGAAGTTCTTTGGTTGAGTTGCTTGCTTTACACATTTAAATGATAGAAGCGAGAAAATGCATCATTTCTGAGTAATAAAGTATGCATTTGCAATCGAAGGTGCCTACTTATCATTGTTCTGATATAATTTAAAATCCGTTATTTAATAATAAGCACGAAGGATTTCATTAAAAATTTTATATATTTAAAATATTATCAATAATTATAAACGCCTGAATTATTAAATGTTATGAAAATACTGAAATGTACGATGTTACTCGACGATTAAACATCAAATTGTAATTAATTATTTGTCATGTGAAGATTTACGCCGACAAATTAAAAACAAATATTTAAAGATTTATCTTATTATACATTATGATCGATTACCCCTTATATTACTTATAGTATATATGGTGAAGCATTTTAAGTTATTTAATATTTAATACCTTCGTATAATAATAATTCAACGCGTAATACAGTGACTTACACATGATATATATATATATATATATATTATGAAAGTGTATTTACTTATTGAATGCATGACATTCGTGTGGTAAAAATTGTATTGAACGTGTGAGAAGTAAATATAAAACTGGATCAGTTGGTTAGAATTAAACAAAAAAAATCTTACATTAATTATAATTATGTTTTCAAATTTTTTTTTTTTAAACTCATAAAAACTATATATATTCTTTCATAAACGCTTTTCGTAAATTTTCATACACTTGACGCTTTTTACATCCCACTTTCTCATGTACAGTTTCAAGTAAAATAATATACATATAAATTCTATGTAACACTTAGTTCTTTGCATAAACTAGAAAAAAGTAAGGTTACTCGGACAAAGTGTAATATAACTCGGGATATTACAAAACTGACAGAGACCTTAGATAGACCGTGAAAAAGAGCAGCAGCATTCCCTGAGAGCAGTGATTATTATTATTATTATTATTATTATTATTATTATGGTAGAGAGAAATAGATAGGGAATAGAAGCGGAGAAAGAGAGACGGTAAAACTGAAACCCTTGTCACGGTTTTGGTAACGAGGCTTAGAATGAAATACTCGCAGTTAAGGAAACGTAGAGATTTTTATCACCATTTACAAGTCCTTTCGTTAATTGCTGAGACCCATTATTTTTTTAATAAGTCAAAATGCGTAAGTGTTCCTTAATTATTTGTGAACAATGTGAATTACAAGCGTGGAAAGTATATAATAATTTTTGTACCACTAAAATTATACTATTTAGACAATTGTGGCAAATTGTAGTAAAAATAAATTTTTCACTTGGATTATTTTATGCATATTTGTATTTAGAAATTTAAATATATGAATAATGTATTAGAAATAAAGTGTATTTACTATTTGCTACCAATATCATTATTATTGGCACTATTCAGTTTATGATTTTCTAAATAATTATATCACAGAGGCAGCAAGTGTTACCGTCGTGCCATTAGCAATAATTTATCCCACATTTTTCAATAAATTTATTTGTATTCCATTAGTGATAGGACTATGGGTAAACCGATTCATAATTAATTAAGTATTAAATTATTTTGTTATCTGAGGACTACACGGTTGCTATTAGGATAGTGCAACGATAAAAAAGAAAGTGAATTTATGCAATGAAAATAAATGCATGCAAATGACAAATTTTTTCGCGATTTATCCGCCAAAATTATTGTGACGGCGAAAAATAAAGACCAAAAACAAAACAAAACAAAAAAACAAAAATTAATAAAGTAAGAAATACGATGGCTGTATTTTTTTTTTTTTTTTTTTTTTTTTTTTTTTTTTTTTATATAAATTTATAAAATCTCATACGCATAAGCAGTAAAAGTAAATGCACTATTTTCAATTTTCAAAATCATACGGAATTATAATGCGCCAACTAAATATTGAAATAATGAAGTCAATAATAGTTTATACATAAATATTCATTCGCGAATTTCACTTGACATGTAGGTAAATTGAGGTGAGAGATGGATCATACAATCATACAATTTTCTAATCAAGACTTTGAATCGAAATCGGGTAGCTTCCAAGTACGCTGAAATTCTGATTTTCCGTGTCTGAAAAGCTTCTTATTTATGCTGTTCTTCTGTTAAAACACAGCGATAAATTATTACTCTACTTAACTTTTATTATCTTTATATTTTATAACCGATGAAACATCACCTACGTGCCATTTATTTATAGTGTAATTAGCCGTGCTTACAAAACTTTGACTATTAATTGATATTCCAATGAATTTACTCCACTAGCTGGATAAAAGATTGTAAAAAACGAAATTTTTCCGCTGAAACACAAAGGATGCGCGCAGTTGCGCTATGCACGCATGAAATAATGCGCAAAACGCGAGTCCCGCATAGGAACGTATTTTTTTTTCTTTTTTTTTTATAGAAATTTAAATTTCGATAAGACCACTTAAAATTTCAGCCTCGTGAAGACAATGGAAATATCTATACACTGTCGTAATGACAACTAAGATTTATGTTTGCAAAATAAGGACAATTACGTATAATGTCGGTATATTTAACACGTCGAATGCAAGGATTTACTATCAACTTAAATTATACCTCCTCTTTTCCATTTTTTTTTTTTTTTTTTTTTTTTTTTTTTTATTTATATCAAACTCCACCACTAAAGTGATTAAGAAATTTAGCGCTAAATGCAAGATGCTAGGGTACTAGGGCGACCGATTACTAAACAAGAACCTCCGAGACTTCGATAAATTTCTTTCGCAACGCCGTCGCAATTCGAGCGATGGCCGCATTAAAGATAATTGTGAGATAATAATTCCCGATCGAAATTCAATCCAGCGTTCGCGCACTTTTGTAAGAAAATTCGCTCTCTCTCTCTCTCTCTCTCTCTCTCTCTCTGTCTCTGTCCTTAGAAAATTCCTTAAAAGCGGTGCTGCGTATCATCGCCGAAACTCGACTTACCTGGCCATACTAAATGTCCCGTAGAAGAAGCTCTGCTCGTCGCCCACCTGTCGTCAATCGGCAAGTTCCTCTTGTCTCTCTCTCTCTCTCTCTCTCTCTCTCTCTCTCTCTCCCCTCTGCTCCTCCTCCTCCCTCCTCCTCCCTCCTCCTCTTCCTTCTCTTCTTCCTCCTCCTCCCCCTCCTCCTCCTCCGCCGCTTCTTCCGCTACCGAATTTTTTACCGGCTGTCCGGCCGTAATCATCAACGTGAGCTTGAGACGTGCGCGCAGAAAACCCGATAACGAAACGTCCGTAACTCGTCGTCCTCTTCGCTCACTCTCTTCGGCCCCAAGTCGAGACCAAACGAAAGCTCGACTCGAGAGCAGACTTGACTGACGCTGGCTCGTCACCGGGCGTCGAGCACTCTTTAATCATGCATCGATCCCATTGATCGTCGATTCGCCTCTCCTAGCACACCGCCCTTTCCCTTGGACGAGTTGACGAACGCGGAACCAGAAGCGTTAAACCCGGAGAGTCCTGGCCGTGTGTCCGCGTGCGGCGCTTGCCGCGGCTCGAGTGAAGGTACAATGGAATCGCGGCCTCGGGTCTATGCCAGTAGTTGCGGCAGGTATACGCCGTCGTCCGCGTCTATCCCCTACCCGGAGCTCGCGGGCGCGCGCCAACTCGCCCCACCACCTCGGCCTCCTCGGGCTACGCTTTCCCGCCGGCGCGTCCGCGGCAACTCTCCGCGCGAAATATACAAACGGATTGATTCGCTTGACCCCGTCATTGATCACTCCCCCCCCTCCATCCCCCCCCCCTCCCACATCCACCCTCAACACAACCATCCACCACACCCCCTCGACACCCGGGCGCTAAACGATTTTTACTCTCCGGGGGATAACGGAAGCGATGCTCGAACGCGCTCAACTTGGATCGCGAGAGACTCAGGCGGACAGATTTTCACAGTTGGTGCCAAAAGTCCAAAACACCTCGCGCTCGGGTGTCCAAACAGCCAAACGGAGAAGCTGCTAGATAGAAAAAGACCACGATTTACTTGTGGCCGAATTTACATGCTTCCTTGCTGCATTCAAGGACGTTTGAACAATGCGATTCTACCGTGAAGATAACATTATTAAGTGTAATTGTCCTGTCTGGATTGACCATCCGACTGCGTTTATTAAGACTCGTTTGTGATAAAGATTGGGCGCAACGATGTCTTCTTAAAATCTTTTCTTCTCGCAAATTTCAATGCTCCGCAATCCCCTTGCTAAAATCCAACAAGACCATACTTATACATGAATTGTAATACCACGAATACATAATGCGAATGAGGAATGAATTTTTGCACAGAATCGAACGAGTCCTTGCCATGGACTATATTTATATTCTTGATTAATAGCAACGATAGTAAAATAGCATTTTGTAAAATTAAATAAAAACGCTCGACCTTAAAATGTGGGAAACAAGATGTATAGATATTTTGTTTAAACTGTTTTCGTTTCGACGATAAGAGCATGTGGCGTGTTTATAATCATATCGCAACGAAAATAATGTACGATCGATTAATCTTTTTATCCATGAAATTAATTTTTAACGCATCTATTCCACATACATCTTCTATCTTAAAAATACATAAGAAGAATGACGATTACGTTGATAACAACACCGACGACGACAATGACAGCAACAACGACGAGCCCAACAATAACAATGACGTCTACGGTAATTGTACTAAATAATGATTTTTTCACTTGAGTACATTCACATTACATTCTCTGTCGATGTACTACGAATATTGATTCTTTCGATATGATAAGCTTTTTTTTTTTTTTTTCTTTTTTTTTTTCAAAGAAATTACACGAAATATCGACAAAATATTCATATACATAATAATTGTAATCCGATTCAATTATTATTATTTCTATGGTATGAATAACTAACATGAAGATTTCAAGACTTTTCTATCAAGAATTTACTACTATATTCTTCACAGCTGTTATTTTCAATACGGACAAATATAGATAATTCGTCAAATAATTAACTTTTAAGTTAAAGGAATGTGTAGTGTCATTGTATCATAATTATATAAATGGGTATAAATTTCATGTCTTTGAACAATTTAGTTACAAATATAGACAAGACTAAACTTAAATTCACACACTAATATTCGAGCTTGGAACCGAGGATTGGAATATCAAAAAAAAAAAAAAAAAAAAAAACTTGAAAAAAATACTATTCTATACTCATGTAAATAGCATTTAATTATAAACCATTGACGTTGAAGTTTATATTCACAAATGATGTATATAAATAGCACAAAGTTTCAGCTAACACAGACATTATTCCATTATTTAAATTATCTAATAGTTTAATTAATAATAAATTATATATACGTCATGTTATATATATTTGATCAAGTAAATATTAATAATAATCGTTTAAAGACTGATTTATGTGAATATAATTGAATCGTGGAAGTTTCATTGCATAGCTTTAAGAATCAATTTATAATTTCCATTCTCTGTGAGCAAATCTACAATATTTTTCTGCAAAATTTATGGAAATTAATTCGATAATATTTATTGCCATTTTACATTTGACTATACAGTATAAACTACTTAGAATTATAATTAATAATATTTATTGAGAAACTTGCATGAATAAGTATAAAATTGTAAATTAAGTGTAATTTTCTGCAATCAACTAGAATAGTTTATTAAGTAATGGAAAGTCTTTTTACTAAAGAAATAAAAGCGTTAATTATTAAGATGTCACGCATAATTATTTTCCGTAGATTTTATAGAACGATTATATATATTTTTAATGAGGATATTTAAAAATTTGCCATAACAATTAGAGATAAATTAGATAAATCACAATAAGATGTAAACTTTGCGTGTATAATACACAAGTAAAGAGTAAATTTTCATTTTATATCCGATACTAATTAAAAAATAATTTATTATTATAAAATTGCAAATTTTCAGGCACAAAGCGCAAAAAATTTTAGGACAAGTGAATTTTAATGAATTTTAGAAGAATAGGAAAAATCGTTTTAAGATATTTCATGTATTTAATGAAACAAGTTTCTTCTTACTAAGAGTCTTACTAATCTTTTCACACGAACGAGAATAAAATGCAAAAATTTAAGTACGAAGAATGTACATATCAAATGATTATTTTTGTAAAATAATTATTTATATATATCACTAAAGAATATCGCCCATGAAATTTATTGCTGATGTTCTTTTAGTTGTTAATTTGTCATTTTAATGTGAAACGTTGATATTAATGATAATTCTCTTGTACTGTAAATATTGCGTCTACATTGGAATCGAATTCAATATCAATGAAATAAAAGCAATAAATAATTTTCATAATGATAATTATAGATATTGTAATAGGATTAAATTTCAAATTCCATAATTTTAATTATAGCTTATTGGAAAAGCATGAAAACTTCCGTATTCTTAAGACTTAAGACTTGGTATTGAATTTTGTAAGCTTATTTACCAATATGTTATCAGATCGTAATATATACGATTAAAGGCGTAATTTCCATCGAATTAATTTAGATTGTTTGCTAAAATTATTGATATCATATGTAATAAGAGGTAAGTAGAATATATTTTAAAATTTATGTCGCAGGCAATAGTGTATCAATCATACTTAAACGCATAAATATTATGAAATCCATCTTCCGAAAGATTTCAATTATGCGTCTGTCGATTTTGTTCACAATTACATGCTACCTGTAAATACATCTTTTTCAACGTGTGTTATTAGTATTGGAATAACAAATAGTAATCGATATATTAAAAGGATCGTGACACTAGCATCCTTCTCAATATAAATTCTAACTGCGGCTTAGTACTCTAATATACATTCATCTTATTTCACAAAAAATATATATATATATATATATATATATATATATATATATATATTGCGCGAGGAGGTGCGGAAACTTGGCTGCAAAAGTACAAATTGAAAATTCTCTCAACGGACAGGGGAATGGAGCTTACACCATTATCAAGTAACACTTAATCCCGACAGATAATTAGCTTGTACGTGGCTCAAGTTCGTAGATTTCGTGGTTTTTAAAAGCAATACTGCAAATCTAATGATAGACATTGGAGTGTTGGTGATACGAGAGTCGTCAGGCCTCTGGACTACTTTCGAATAGAAAAGGCAGCATTGCGCGGTATTAGCTCTCGTCTTTTTAGTGGATGAGCTTTGTTGAGCGAATCTATTCCTGGAAGAAGAAGAAGAAGAAGAAGAAGAAGAAGAAGAAGAAGAAGAAGAAGAAGAAGAAGACTGCACATTGGCACGCGATTGACTGATTTCCGTTGGCTTTGGTAAATCGAACATGCGTAAAGTATTTGCCTTGTCGACGACCAATGCTCCTCGGTCATAAATGGCTTTATTGGAATTCTACATTATAACTCATCATGCATTCATTTATTTCGTCGAATCTATATTTCGCTTGCATTTTGTGTAAATGTGACGTGTGATATCGTATTATCTTATATTTATAAATAATCAATTTCTTATTGTTGCTAATTTGTTGAGTGACATCGTCGACTTTTACGGCAACAAGCATACATACACTTACTTATGATATACTGCAGCTTAAGAAAATTATGCATGCAATACAGATGTCTTTTTATTGATTTTTCGAAATTCAAATTTCATTGATATAAAATCATGCCTCCTGTCATGGCCAGCCTAATCCATTGAAAGGACATAAATCTATTCGACTTTAACGATACTTTTTACAATATACTTTTCAAGGCTAACGGTATCAGCCGAGAGCTCTCTTCTCAATTTTATATTTGTTTTTAATTATCCTCAAAGTACTTAACATTGAATTTTAATTTATACCCGATAAATTATAACGATTAATTACTCTATCATAATTAGATTAATTTTTAATGTAAAGCAGATGAATCGAGTTGGGATTAATTTGCAAAGCAAATTTAACTGCTTTTTACGCGTGCTTAAAAGTTATAATAAGTATAGCTTGGCGACTTTTTATATTTCTTATCTATTGAATCTATGATTAGAGAGTGCGTATCGTACGTCTGGAAAGTATGCGTGATGCATTGATTGCTAATAAGTATTATCAACGGCTAATTTCATCAA